TGTCATAACAACTAAAAATGTTCAATTTAATCAAAGTGCATTTAATTATATATTATACATTGTCATCAAAACCATGCATTAGAGAGAAGATTTATTATGGATTGTACATATATCGTCATACCGATATTAAAGTCATCAAGAAGGCCAAAGCTATACTGTAGAACTGAAAAAATATATGCTTTTATTATACTTATTAAAAATACTTATGTTAAATTAAAAACAATTAATACAAAAAACTTTAAATATATAAATTAACAATGAAAAATATAAAAATGCAGTTAATTAAGAAATGGCTTCAATATTATAAGTGTTGCCATTTAGATATTATGTAATTTCCAAAATTGAATGTAAAAGTATACAATTCTATTGCTTATACTTTTAATATTAGACGTATCTGACAAACGAAATTATATCCAAAATGGAAAAGTCCAATGCCAAATTTTACCTCCCTTTGTTTTATTTGCAATATAAATTGTAAAATCTAATTGAAATAAACAATTGAATAAACGTTAGTTATAACTTTCATGAAAGTTCAGATTAACATAAATTCTAAATGATCATATAAAAAATCAATCAACTTTTCAGTTTTAAAATATAAACGTTCATATTAATAATTAAATTTGAGACAAATTTAACGTATTTTCTTAAGTTACATTATATAACTCCATTGTTTTAGTTAAGTTTACGACATATTGAGAAAAATTGTGACGATCTATACAGAAATGACTGAAAATAACTCAATTATAATTGATCAATGTTACAAATTTAAAAATGTATTCTTTCATATCTTTTGGGCTACGTATATGTACATATAGAGTAACTCCGGTATATACGCACAATCAAAAATTTAATTTATTAAGTATTATTTATTATGTTTAAAGTAAATGAAATGTATCAGTAAAAACTTTGTACTATCTACTATTATGAAAAAAATATTAGAAATCCAAATTATTTATATTTCGTACTAAAAAATGAATTTTTTTAAATCCTTGTGTTTTTGCCATATATCCATATATATATAGGGGCGGGATATATGACTATTTCTTGAAAGGGCGAGGAGGGGGAGGGGGGCGGAGTTTGTATAGCTCATGAAAAATTTACAAATAATTCATAATAAATAAAACGCATTTATAAAATTTTATTAAGAAATAAGAATGATAAATATGTATATGAAATAATAAATAATAATTACAATCTTCCCATATTACAAGTTTTATGACATAAGACGCATATTTCAATGTAATGCATTTAGTGCACCGAATTCAATCTGCGCACTTTGTATGTTTGGGTAAATCCCTATTAAAAATGTTGTATATCCCAAACAGGTGGGATGTACAAGACAACAAATTAAACAAAGAATAAAAGAGCAAAAGTACTTATATTTTTGTTATACAACATACTTTACTATTCCTCTATACTCATATATCACGAAATAACCACTAAGTCTTTGCACAGTCCTAATCATTTTATGTAGACTTTAATTTAGCATTATTATGATATAGCATTGCTTAACATAGTGACAAATCGATTCAACACAATAATTTCATTAATATTAACATTAAAAAACTGAAATCATAACATAATATTAATATAACATAAAGGCATATAACAGAGTTGCGGGAAAATTATTCTCACTCCTTCTATTTTTTCTAACTTCTATAAAATTCCATAAATTCCAGTGCTGCGTATTTGCCGGAGTTACCCTATTACAATTACTTATAAAAATTTTATAAATTATTTTAACTTATATGCTAAAATGCGTAGTATATTTATTTTGTACATTGATAATATAATCGATAAATTTCAGATGTTCGCTTTCGGCATATAAAATAAAAAATAATTTATAAA